TTGCACAAAAAGAAATATGCAACACTTAAGTTGAGTAATTGCTTGTGTTAGCTCGCAGAAGAAACAATAAATTTTAGCTTACCGTATTTTTCTAAAGACTGATAGATAATATACATGATTACGACAATTTATGGTTTTTAAACTTTTACAGCAATTATTTCTGCTCTAGTAAATTTCATGTGTTTCCAGAATGGCAATGAAATAATGGGATTGCTTTAACTTTATGTTTAGTTATTTTATTTAATAAATAAAAGAAAAATATATTTAAACTACTGCATTACAACATGCGAAAAAAACGGACCGTATAAATCTTTAGATTTATTTTAAAACTATACTATTGTTTTTATGCTGTTTCCTTTGCATGTTTTATGCTAAAGATGTGTTTTTATAAGTGAGGCAGTCTACTGCTATTCATAGGAAATTTAAAATGTTAGAATCTTTTTTACTGTAAGAAACCATAAAACATAAACAAAGGAAACTGAATTTTCTTGCTGTTTAGAACTATTCTTAATATTGAGAGTCATTAAATTCTAAACAATCAAGAAATAACAGGATATATTTTATAATATTTTGACCCTATCCTCAAATTTGAGACAGGAACTCTACATTCGAAATCTGTCCATCTGCTAATTTGTGACATTGCTTTCGTACAGCAAAAGTAATTCACCAGTACATATATCTAATATATTTTATTCCTGACTATTCTTAATTTTGGTTAATTTTATTTATTATTTGCATATTTAAATAAATTTGCATACTATTTACCCTTTTCTAAGCAGTTGTATTTTTATTATAAGACACAAATCTGAAAGTATATAGATGAATCAAATGCTCAGATCAGTGCTCAAGCTAACATTGATAAATTCAAAACACACACACTGGTTTTGGGACAGAAGACTACACGTAAGTTTAATAAAGCAATCGTTTATTTTCTCACTTCATCTTTTACCTCTTTCTTCTATCTTTTACTTTCTTCTACTTTTACTTCATGACCACTAACATGACTTAACGCTCCACCTTAGTGTATGATATATTTCTCTCATCTGGGCTCATTTAGCACTGAGCTGCGCAACCAAATGAAATTCTACCAAAGAAGATGTACAGAAAACTATAAAAGTCAAGTGTACAAATGAGAGCAACCAGTTTCACTGCTTCGAAGAAGGAATGTGTTTGGTGAAAAGAGCTCTGAACAACTGTCAACTTCATTCTCATAGAAAACTCTTCGTCACGACAATGGATTAAGAGAATATTAAAGAAGATTTTCTAGTTATTCTGACTTCATTAAAAAATATAAATATAACTAATGATACGGCATTCCCCATAATTCATTGCGACTCACATTTTTTGCCGCAGTATGAGTCAGGTACAGATATAATTCGAAATTGCGATTTTCGATTGGTTATGAAATTTTTTGAAGTAAACTTTATACTTGCTTGTACAAGTAAAGAAAGTATTATAATGGCGAAAAATTTCGTGTACCATACTTCCACGAAAATATCTATTTTGACTGCTCTTGAATCCATTTGAACCATGTTTTTGCGTGTCATCTCTACGTACGGACAGAGTAACGAACTCTTTTGCCCAAAACGGATTGTAAAATGAAGATTCAAACGAGATGTTTTCGTTGCACAATAGGTGGACGCAAATCTTAATTTCCCTTTTTATACCTTATTCACTGATGAGGCCAAGTTGGCATGTTCAGTTTTGTTTAAATACCAACAGTTCTGCCGTTTGGATGCATAATAATCAACATGGTGCGAGATTACATGCTTACTAGGAGATATTCTTTGTCAGGCTGGTATGTTACATAAATACTTAGCGGGACTCTATATTCTGCTTAGTCACTTGAAGGGCCTCATGTACTGTATCTTGCCGAAACATGTTTTCCGATGTTCCTGTAGATGTCTGAACACAAGTGTGTTTCCATCATGATGCGCATCAGGACACTTCACCAGTACCATCAGCAGTTCGCACGACGATACTGAAGGCGGGACATGTTAAGGACATGATCAACGAATCCGTACACCCTTTGAATTCTTGAGTATACGACAACACTAATGACAACTTTTTATTATAAAGACAACTTAATTTGACTGACAACCTTTTGATTTTTCCATGTATATGAGCTCGAATTAGTTATTTATACAGATATTAAATTAATTTTAAAATTGTACCAGTTTTATGTATCAGAATATTATTTTCGGAACTGTGCTTATACGGGTTAGAAAACTGATATTTGTTGTGGTGATTATTTTTACTTAATGTCTTAAATGCAGTTAATAAACTATTTGTGTTTTGCAAAGTACGTTTACATTTACATAATTATGCAGATCAGATCAATAACTCATGTTTTATTTAAAACAATTACTTAATTTTTTGGTTACATCTTGAGAAAAACTCTCAAACTCTATTCAGTACACTAAACATTTCATCGTATTTTCATTTTCTAATCGCGAAATAATTGTAGAGAGTAAATTTGATCCTTTTCTCTCGAGAAAGGACGCTTTGCATTCATTATAATTTGAAGCGGCATTATTAGCTCTGTCTACCTGAAATCATGCCTTTCCAGGCCTATTACATTTTAATGATCATTCAATCATAAAATGCAGCTTCTAGTATTTCTAAACTATTTTTAGAAATTCTCAGTTTAATTTAAGAGCTATTAGTATCTTTATTTACCAAGTACTCGTTAAAAAGATGAAATTTCTAGAAGTCTGCGAAATTTGGTATTTCAAAAATGTAGTTGTAAAGGGCATATAAATGAGTAAATATAAAAATGAAAATTAAGGGCCAGTAGTTAGCTCATAAAAGAAATAAATCCTCTTTCCCTTCAGTCATATACGTTCTGGAATAGCATGCAAGATATCATATTGCTAATTATTCTGAAGATATGAATTGCAGTTTTGAACAAAGAGTGAAATATTAATATGTGCTGTGTTGCATATAGAAAATGAAATGAAATACTACATTGGAATTTAAATTTGCTTTTATAAATTTCTCCAAGAATTGGCAGAGATACCCGTATTTCTCCCATAAGATAAACTGAACGGTGTTCAGTAGAAAGAACAAAGTGTAAAGCGAGCTGAATGTATTAATAGCAGAAATTTCCAAAATATGATTATGTTCCTTTTTTGTATTACATTATTTGTAGAAAATAAAGAATTTTAATAACAATATTCAAGAATTTACCCCATATCTCTTACGTGACATAAGAGTTATATAAATAATGAATAACAAACTTTCGGAAATTCTTAAATATTTGCAGCATAGTGCTTAGAATACAAAACTTCCAAACTTCAAATTATTAAAGTCATTCGAATTCAAAGAAAAAAATATTAAAAGAAATGGCTTAATGCGATGGATGCAACTTCAGGTCATTTGTAAAGGACATTAACTTAAAGCTCTGGAAACTTTAAATTATGTGGTTTCGATTAGACACTTTTAAATAATTTAAAAGCAACTTAATAATTATTTTAATCCATCACTCTGATGCAGTTCTAGTTAAATTTATGAATGACTGTGTTCCTAACATGTTAACTATAAATATGCAATAATGTAATATGTTAATTACGTATTCTTAATATATTAAATAATAGGCATTTTCACGTTAAATTATTAAAACTTGAATCAGAGTATTTCTGACACAGTCTTAAAAAATTTAAACAGGAACATTTTTAATATAAATATTAAAAACATTTTTATATATTTCATGAGTATTACAATAAAATGCATGGCTTAAATTATAATTATATTGAATTTATTAATTTCCATTGCATTGATTCTTTTTCTACATTAAATTACAAATTAAATGATTAAATATTTTAAAGAGGCAAATATTTTACACATCTATGGTGATTTGACATGTGAACAATTTATATTTATTAGGTGCTATCTTAAATATTAATCTTTTTACGAAGCGTTTTGTTCCAATATGGCAAATCATCATCACCTTTAAAGGTAAACTAATTCAATTCTAAGCACACTAAACATTAATGTTTTTGCAAATTGAAAGAAAGACTTCTGATTTCTAAAACTGATACTACACTTCAGTGGACACATATATGACCAGTGTTTTTCAAATAATCCTACTGCAGATTTCTTTAACATAGGCTGAAGATCTTCTCGACAAGGGCCACTGAAAAAACATATCTTTTTAGAACGGTAAGAAAAACTATACAATATATCTAGAACACAGGAGTCACTTCAGCCTCCTCTATTTGCTTGTGATTTGCTAGAGTTAGAAGACGGTTATTTGTTCGAAACAACTTCGAGTAAATGATATTAATTCTAAAGATGCTGGTTAAGCGGTGCACCATACCGGGCATCTATTTTACGAATATTTGTTCTTCGGATCTCTTCCCTGAACTGAATTTTCGAAAGAGTAGATTTACCGCTATTCATCCGGTTACTCTTAGGTCAGAAAGTATATGAGAATGTTGAATTTGGTAATTTGTCCTTATGCAATGTTTCGTGCCATAAGTGTTTCCCCAGCGTTTTTTCTCATACAGTGTATCAAATAAATCAAAAGATCTGCTTACATATAAAATACCAAGAATGCTCGTTTAACTATTTTTCCAATGATTAATTGCCAAAGCATGGTGAGAAATCAGTTAAAGTAACCCAATGAAATCAAATAAGGTAACAGTTTTTACCACCTGAAACCACTTTAGAAAAGCTTATGAAGTATATATTTCTCTATTGATCACGTAAAAAAGAAAACTGACATTGCGATAAATGTCTTTCGTAACTACGTTATTAAAAAATATGTACTATAAAACAATTATAATTGTTCAAGGTTTACTTTCTTTTTCAGGACTGTTTTGAATTTTGCGGGTCTGTCCTTTTCTGCTAAAAGAATGTTTACGATTCTGAAATAACATAGAAATGTTATTTCAGAATCGTAAACATTCTTTGCCAAGCATAGAAAGGAGCGCAATAAATGAAAAAAATTATGTAGGAGTTACTTTAGTTTTCTAATAGATATTTTTAATTTTGAACAGTTTTTCTTCATTCTCTTGTTTCAACAAAATCGTTTGAACAGGGATAACATTTAAGGCCAAATGCCACGAAGGCTTGATAGCTTGCCACGAAGAATTTCATAGGCTTGGGCTGATGTTACAGTCAGACAAGTGAGCATAAGTAACAACGACAACATATGTTACTTAAGATCTTTGAATTTTCTTTCAAATTACAAGTGCTTAATAAAGTAAGTATTTACTCATGAATGCAATTTCTACCGATTTAAATATTTATTATATTTTTAGTATTATACTACACTGATAAATTTCAAAATGAATTTATTTTACAGTATATCCACTTAATAACTACAAAATGAATTAATTTTACAGAATATCCACTTAATAACTACAAGCATATTGTGCGCCGTCCAACTGGGTTAGTGGTTAGTGACTCTGACTGCCGTACAGAAGGGGAAGGATTCAAATTCCAGAGAAGGCATAGATGTTTGTAAATGTACAGTGTCTATGCGTCATGGGGCACTCTAAATATGCGCCCAGCCGAAAGGCCTCTCGAGAGGTTATGGTAGGGAAAGAGAAGTGGGAGGCCCTTGGATTCGTCCCCCGGGTGCTCTCCTTTAAAATTGGGGGTGGAACTGCGCAAAGTCGTACTGTCACCTGCACCAAAGAATATGTAATTTTAAGAAGGAAAGCTTCTCCGTAACAGGAGTGGCTCCGTCGCAATGTAGAGGGAAACAGCTGCGCATGCGCGAAATATCTGTCGCCAAAGCTGGAAGTTAACGTCGAAGTTCGAAGGTCACGTTTATCAAGAGTTCATAAAATGACTATGGTTTTAAATTTCTCTAAACTTTAAAGGAAAAGAAAATATTTTTTCTAGCAAGTAAATTAATTAATGGGTTAATTATTTTGAGCAAGAAAAAGAACGAAAATCCGAGTTTAAATTATAGCGAAAAGTCAAAGAAGAAACGTTTTGTCAAAGACCGTTTCTTCTTGAACGTGTTCTGTTTCCTGTACACATCGCGGAATGGGAAATTCTCGCCGCCAGGTTCTGTCGCCAAATTCCTTGGCGAATTTTTCCATCCGTTTTCTAGTGGCGTATTAGTAAATCGGTTTACATTACGTCTACGAAACCTTTCCTTCTTTTCATAGACATTCTTTGCTTGTACGGTGCTCCAAGGGCTCTTGCCAATGATAGGCACAGTCTTGCACTCCTTGCCACAATGAATTCTGATATTGCTGTCAGGCAAGTGAGATAAGTCACAGGAACAACATTTTGAGCTTTACGATACTTAATAAAATATATTTTAATGGCAAATCTAGAAAGAAATACTTTGTTATTATACTATTACAGAAGATTAAAGTAATATATATGTATGTTTATATTAATATTTACATATTTTGCTTGGATTTGAATTCTTAACGTTTGAGATCTCACTTATTGTTTAAAACAACTTTAGCTGATACACTTCAGAGCGCAAGAAATCCCCGTTCAATTCTTATTATTGTATATAGCTTTATTTGAAGTATAAAAAGAAACTAATGCCTACTATCTGCTTCAACGCCACATCCATCGGAACAGCTACACATGCTCTAGCGCTGCTTTAGTTGCTAAGTTACTGGTGAAATGCCTCTTTTGATGTCTGTTAGAGACAGGTAGTTGGTTTGTTTTGAATAACTTGAATAAATAACACTAACTTACTTTCATATGAAATAAAAATAAGGGTAGGTGTAGAAATATCGCATATTACGTGATTCTCACGTGATAGAGATCTGTTTTTGATGCCCACTATCCTCATAACACAGGTTTTCTAAAAATGAGACACAGTGCAAATGTTTTACCTCATTTCGCACAACACAAATATATTGATCCAAATATGTTACTTCATACATTTCTTCCATATATACAGCACTGCTGTCCTCTAACAGGCATATTAAATTGTTGAAAATTTCAAATATCAGTTATGATTTTCCGCGAACGTTACGAATCATTTTTAGCCCAAAGGGCGTTAGCCAGAAGGGCTATTAATTTCGTTTTGGCATTTTGCGTTGAAAACTTTAAATGCCAGTTCAATTTTCAAATTGTTGCCATCAAATATTAGATCCCTGTATTATATTAAAAGAAATTAAATAATGAAGAATCTGCATAAGTGTATGTATGTTTCTGGCATTGTGATAAAACAACGGTATCAAGAGCTATCAAATTTTGAATAACGTAATCTTCCACTGAACATGGCCATTCTATTTCATATTTGTAAAACTTTCACGAATTTTTGATTAACAAACTCAATGATTTCAAAGCGAGCAATGGCAACTCTGTATGAAAAAAAAATTATTTCCAGCGCACGAGACTGTGTATTTGAAATTCTAAAGGATATGCTCATTTTAAAATTATTTTGTGATATTGCTGTTGAACTGAATTTTATGGTTTAAGTGCGAAGAACATGATATTTGCTAATAAAGAAAACACACAAAACGTAAAAAAAAAAAAAAAAAAAAAAAAAAAAAAAAAAAAAAAAACCTTCTTTTTGGCGATAATGTAAAATCTGAAGGTTTTTAGATTTTTTTCTTTTTTTTTTAATAATTAGTACTTTTAAAAAAGATTACTATTTGGTAATTTTCAAACAGCATCAGCAGAAGAAAAAGCTGAAAAGATAGCGGCAGGTATCAGTTTAAGGCTTCTCTCGGTAACAAATTATTTTTCTTAGATATGCTTAGGCTAAAAATTGAAACTTTCTACGGGTCATATAAAAAAATGTAGCACTTGAACAGCGCTGAAAGAAATCTGAGTCGTTCATATCTCTACTCGTCCACCCGAAAGAATATTTTACGTGTCAACATTCAGAGAGAATGGCGCAAACATCTGAAGATTTTATCTCCACGTATTGTACAATTTTCTCTAGCCGTCCTGCAGACGCAAACATCTTAAGAGTTTACCTCCAGATTTTGTACAATCTCTAATCATCCTGTCGACTGTAAGATAAATGGTTGCCAAGAATAAAAATGTCTCACATTTAATACACTAAGCATAAGAGAGAGAACTCATACGAAACTGAAGACTATTACAGAAGATTAAGATTCCAGCATTAGGGGATTAAATCTATGTTATTACAATTATTTTCCCTTGTTGTAAATGTGTGTGCAATTATAGTCCTCTTCACATACTTTGGTTGTTGTCTTATTTATTCATATGTCATTGGATGTCATTGGTCTGCTTTAACAGCTTTTATTTTTGCCGAAATACAAAAGAGTGTTTACCCATCTTTTTAACGATTTTGAGTTTTTCCATAAATTTAAATATTACTTTTAAAATACAAACGGAACTGTGATCAAATTGGAATAAGTTATAATTATCGTCTGCAGCATTAAAAATATTCTTTTCTTTCAAATGTCACTGAAAAATAAATATAGGATCGAAGGCTATATTTTTGCGTTGTCTGAAAAGAAATACTCTTATTCAATTATCAAAACCAGATGTGAAAATCATGATTTAAATATTTCTGCAAGTAAAATGAGTGAAAAAATTGCAAACCCAACAAAGGTGCGTACAGCTCTCATTATATCTAAAGTCGCATCTCATATTTTAAACGAAAATCCAGCTCACCAAAGAGCTACTGAAAAATTTTTAAATACCTCTGTAGGAACTGTGAACAAAATTTTAAAATCTGATTTAAATCTAACAAAAAAATGATGTTCATCGCCTAAACATGTTCCTCAGCGTATGACTATGCAAATTGCTGTTTAAAAATTATTTGGCAGGTAAAAAATGGAAATATATAGTTACAATTCATGAGGTTTGGATATAATTATCTGATTGCAATCGAAAAAGATCAATTTACTATCGAAAAATAGGGAAAAAAGACTTATTGATTGGTTTATTGGATTCCCTTATAACGGAAAACTTAAAATAAGGAAATTAGAAAAAAATGTAAAATTTAACTCTCATTATTATCAGAAATATGTTTTAACACCTATTTTTAAAGAAAGCATTCTGTCTCTTTATCCAAACAAACTTCACTGTGTTAGGTTCCACCAGAATAAGGCTTCGAGCCATACCTCTAAATCTACTGTTTTATTTTTTGTAAAATGGTTCTATTTTTTGTAAAATTTTTTGTAAAAAGTCTAAGTCCCCTGATGTGTCTCTTATGGATGACTGTGCATTTGGACTTTTAAAACAAGCTGTTTAGAAGAGGCATCCCAAAACATTGGATGGACTCTGAAAGATTGTGAAGAAAGAGTGGAATAAAATCAACTTTGATGTTTTAGAAAAAGGACTTTTATCTTGGAAATCAATATGAAATATGATAGCTCAACAAAAGGGCTATCAGACAGAACATATTAGAAAATAAAATTCTAGGTTTGTTTAAGTCTTTGCAAAATCGTTAAAAAAATGTGTGAACTATCTGTGTAGTTTAGATTCAGTGAGCAGGTATGGTCAGAACTCTCGTGTCATTTAAAAGCGAATACATCCATTATTATCAGAAAGTGCTGCAAAATATTCATACCATTTGTAATAACATATTTTTGAAAAACGCATCTTCCTGGGTTACACTAAAAATCAAAACCATTCATACAATCAATATATTAATTATTGTATTAATATTTAATATATTAATACATAATCCTTACATCATTTTATTAAAAATTTTCTTTTATCTCTTATAAATGTTACCGACCAAGCAATTTATAGTGATTTATTTCGTCCTTTTATATTTATTTTCCACCCTCTCAGTATTTGAAACGCTTTCGAAGTTTTCTTAAGGAAAATTTATAGGAAAAACAACTTTAGTCGATAGCCATAGGAGAAAAAAGTAGTAAGCAAACTGCTTGAGGGCCATTGTTCAACTAATTCTTAGTAATCTCCAATATGCCTGAACTGTCATCAGTACAGAAATTATTTGACACAGTGAAGGATTTCAGAAAACCTGAAAAGAAAATTTTTATTTACTAACATTTTTATTAAGGATATACAGGTAAGACAAAGGTAAACAACTAAAGGCCCAGGTAACAGAACTCAGATGTACCACAAAATCAGCTTTCCGTTATAGTCACGAATAATATCCAATTCTTAAAGCGTCTGTTGAAAATCTTAACGTATGTGTTGCAAGAGATAAAAGTTTTAATCTAACAATGCATTTCAAAATACATATGATTTACCATAGACCGAATGGAGAAGTCTGCTCAGCTCTTGTTGTTTTCCCTGGGTTCGAATCTCGACGAATGCGCTAGTCGA